CACGACAATATCTGTGTCATCGGCTCTTACTGATACTTTCTTTAAACCGATACCATCGAGATACTTCACAGCGTAACAGACCAGCGTGTCGGCCTCTTGATGATCGAAGTTACTGAGATTATTGTTGACTTTATGTAGGACATGGCCGGCATCCACCCATAAATGGTGACATACGCCTAGATGTAGTTTGTAGATATGACGCGTTTCTATGAATGGTACATACTCGTCATTCTGTCAATGTAGAATGAAAAACGATGGGATCGCCCGTTTGAATGCGCCTCGATTCATGTTGACTGCCCATGTTCCAGTCAGTCTGGCCGTATAAAATTTTTTCAGAATCCACAACAACTGCTTCAATTCCTTCTGGGGTATCTTCCATGTTTTCTTGTGTTTGAATCTTTTCGAACTCTTCCAACAAGTTAGACTTGACCGTGTGATGGACAGTTCCATCAATACTGCACATTGACAGTGGTATGGGCGTCAATGGATATTTGAATACAAATGGTAGGCTGAGATCCATCTTAGCACCCGTGAATGCCAACTGTCTCATCAGATCTCTCGTACATTTAACTTTTTGGCCAATTTTTTGTCCTTGGTCGTTCGGTTTTTCACTGCCTCGAACCTGAAGGTAAGTACTTTCTCATTTCGTATAGGTTTTTCAAACCGACCTCATCCACCATACATTCATCAACAAAGGTCTTATGGCGTTCCTTTCCTCGACTTTTTAGCGTCAGAAGATATGACTTTACCGATTTGCTGGCGACCTTCCCGGACGATATATTTAGAAGTTTATCATAGGTGGTTTCTTCATACGCTCTTGCACAAACTGCTCGGCTTCGCCCATATCAACAAACTAATTTAACGCCTGTACAATATTGGTACGGAGTGTTTTAGTCAAGGTCCATTTCACTTTGTGTTGAGTATTCTCTGCCACCAACTATTCCAGTTTTTCTTGATACAGCGTCACGGTTTACAGTTTGCTCTAAAACAAGGTCGATCGGGCATCGTAAAACTGCTTGTCAGTGCGGCGTATAGTAAATCCACCGCTTTCCAAAAATCTCTCGTAGACCAGGGTGTGACAGTCCATGTTGGTTTGATCCATTTGAAATTTGGACATATACTTGGCGAAATTCACGTGGTTTGTCACAAAGAAGGAAGTCTATGATTGGAGTGATTGCTTTGGTATACAATTTGATATTATGAAAGTACTTCACGTTCTGAATATGACACATGTAGAATCTCGCAGTATCTCCCAGCTTACCTTCCAATGTGTTTTTCGTATATTGATTATACTTTTCATACAAATCAGTGAAGTCTTTCGAAGTCGCCATCTGTTCCACAGTTTCTTCTGGAAAAGAGTGATCTTCGATATTTTTCACCATATCTATCAGTTGTTCTCCGTCAGATTCGTGCAACTTTTCTAATACTAACGCAAGCATAGGATGAATCCGTTTTCATCTGTTAAAATGTGATCCACTTATGAAGCCGCGTACTGAACCGGAGGCTAAGACTTCGGAATCAATCAGAATTTCAGACAATCCACAGCTGTCTATTATCTTTACGAGAGTACTAAAAAAATGCCATCTCCATGTGAAATACGCCCGGCATTATAAAAACATTATCAAATTTCGGTTTCTCTGTGGCTTGTATATGAATTGCCGGCTTAGCTGCACTCAGATCATACGTGACAATACCAGAAGCTTGTTTGATTTCTTGAGCACATTTCTGAGCGCGTTCGAGTGTTTCATACAGAACATTGTTCTGTGTGATTGGGTCCTTTATATTTTTCATATACATAACTGAACGTTTTGGCAAGGTGTCTATATAGAACGTAGAATTATGTCCGCACCACATTGGGTACATGTCATGGATCATCAAAGCATGGTTCAACAGAAATAACATTTCGAGGTTGCGACCTTTACCATCACAGTAATTTTTGTCCCAACTTAGTTCAGTGTTGTACACGAAGACATTCATTTTTGGCGTCTTTCTGTATGGTTCAAGGGGCTGATCGTCCTGCACTTGCAAACGGCGTTTCTTTCCGCTTATAAAATATCCTGATTGATCGGATGATTTTGTAGATTTTTCAGATACTGGATCCTCGGTAACGTCTGTTAATGTTTAGTACGTTATTCCTTGAGTATCATGCAGTGTATTCATACCTGATAGTGTGCGTGTTAACTTGTCGTAGTTGTCAAAGCATTACTAGTGGATCTATTGGCTACAGCGGCTGCCGGACTAGCTCAATCCATGGCCTTTATCATGGTTGCGGCTTCGGTTTCCATCTCTTCAATGAAATGGTAGTTCGTCGTATGTCCCATATGATTCAAGTAAGTTAGGACAGCTTTACTGCCCGTAAGATGGTTTATTACCGCTGCTAAAGCTTTATGTATAAAAAGGCTTGACTTGGCCATTACGGGCACAGAATAGGGCGCCTTGGCTTGAACAAGAAGCCCGTAATTTCACCATTTCGGTGTGCCGTTCTAAGCAAGGACCTCCATAAAGCACGCGAAAGAATAAAGTTTGCAGTTCAGGAGGCTCTGCTTCTCCTTTCCATAAATCATTCATGGTGGCATTATCGGGGACATTCACCTTAGTTGCTTTTAAATACTTCCTTAATTTCATGGCCGTCTTAATTATGCTTCCTTGATCTGATGAATCGAAGTCATAAATAGTGTGTGATTGCGCATACTGTGGATTGTACAGGAGTACACCCTGACGTTTTCAACGCGAGGTTGTCACATTCAAATTGTCGGAGCTAAATTTGCGCAACAAGACAGTTTTCAAATAGTCCCACTCGAAAAACCCTCTGCGCCTTCCTCAACACAGATGGAACAGTATCGCGAATATACAGATGTTAAAAGTTCAGCCCTTCTGTTTTTTTATAATATATTCTTCAATATACTTGCAAATCCCTGTATATGCAGCCCTATCGATCTCTTTGCTTCTCTTTTCAGTACCACAACTCGGAGATGAACGGTGGTTGCTCTATTCATTAGCTTAGACCGGTATTGGTGATGAAACTGTACCTCCGCTGCGACGAAATCTTGTATGGAACACTATTTCTAAAGACCCCTACGCGCAAGCGTATTATTGAAATAAAATTGAACCATATGTTAGTCCTGAAATGACCTAGTTTGTGTCGAGTGGACGTTAAACCCCATTTCTCTCTCTCAAAGAATTGTCAAAGTTCGTGGGAAGAAAGGCCAAGGTTAATTTGGCGCATGCGCAGTAATCCGTTCTCACACCGGATAGCCCTTACACTACGAAAATATAACCGTGCTATGCCTGGCACCGTGCCGAGACCACCTCACTTCAGTGGGCCAAATTGGCACGGTACTCAGTACGGCACGCTTCTGTTTCACCCGTTTACACTACAAGAAAATTAACCGTACCGTGCCTGGCAAGCTTAAAATTTGTAATGTAAACGGGGTTATCGAACTGTGTTGTGTTTTCTGCCATTCAAAGGTTATGCAATTACAGTTGACATTGTAACCTAAATCAATAAAATCTCCATATACCGGGAATCCTCGTATTTAAGCCCTGCCGTTATTAAGCCCATAGGCTAAATAACGTTTAAATTTCGAATTTAAGCCCATATATTTTAAATTGTCAAACCAGGCTACGAGATGTTCTCCAGTTACACTCCGGTCTTGTACTGACAGGTGAGGACCAACCCAGTGATGACCCGTTCGAGGATTCCAGTTCAGACGAGGTCATTGATGGGTAACGGATGCTCACCATACTAGTATGTATTTCAGAACATTTATGCGACGGTGTATCACAATTGCGTTTTAAAAGCCATTTTTGTCGATGAAATTGATTCTTTCCATTTAAAATTATAAAAAGAGCCTAAATGTTTGTCGTTTTTTCCCCTTTTCGAATTTAAGTCCTGGGCTTAATTTCAGAAGAAATGTTTCACCACTGACATGGTCAAATTTGAAATTAAGCCCAGGGCTTAAGTACGAGAATTCCCGGTATCACTAGGCTATTTCATCAACAATAAATTATTGAATAAGTTAAACAAGAAACAGTCGTATTGTATTGATAAAATCGATTGATTCTATAATGCATGCCGACATAGTTGTTTTGAGAAATCGATTGTAAATTCTAACAATGGGAAAACTATATAGTTTATCCTCAGATTGCATGATGGAAAAATGTAATTCAACAGCACTTGCGGTAATTGTTGAATTTATGGGTATCTGCATTATTGGCAAATCTGCCTCATGCCAGTCTTTAGTTCGGTCTCAAATGTTATATAAACATTAATGAGGCGTTTATTTATATGCAAGGCCCACAATCAACTCTCTAAACTTCGAATGGTTTTGATTTTTGAACAGATTTAAATACGATTGACAGTTAATGATTTGATTTAAAAATAGACAATCTTATCGTAAGGGCGGTAGCAATGACAATTGAGACTACACTGTTCTGCAAACAACGATAACTCCGCCCAGAATACAGTAATTTGACTGAAATTTCGACATATTCCCTTTTCATTATCTATATTTTAACTATTATAGCGAGAACTATCAGCTCTCTATTTACATCTTACAAAGTGCCCCTTTAAGTAAACACAAATTTCTTTAAACATATGCTACAAGACAATGCGGAAGTAGTTAGTAACGGCTGATTCAGAAACAACAAAATAATAATAAAAACGTGTAGAATGGACTAAGCAGGCGTAAACAACTTCTGTTCAGTTTGGACTTTTCCCGTATTTCACCGAACATTATTGATTCTAAATTACAATAAATTTTTAAAAATTGAATATATACCACATAATATACATACATATTACATATTGTGCTTTTAGACCCATTTAAGGCCCAAAGAATAGAACCATACCCTCTTTAATTCTTCTCTTATTTTAATATTTCAGATTGTTGGTTTTACAATATTTGGATTTGGTCTTTATGTAAGGTTCTTTTTAAGACCTTTCCTGAGCCAGTATTTTACAGACACAGTTAAAGACATATATAAAGAGATCAATCAGAATCCCACAGTACCAGACAATCTCGAATTATATGATTTTACATATAATGTTGCAATGTCACTGATCTTTGTGGGACTCGTGTTGGTCATTCTGTCTGTAATTGCATGTGCCGGTGCCTGTAAATCATTGCCGCTGTTGATGCTGGTAAGTATCCGCCTGCCAAATGAAATGCATATTGTTATTTACTAATATATTTATTAAAGTCAACCAACCCCATTTTGTCATATTTAATATCAAAGTTAGTAATAGGCGAATAAGGATTGTTTATTACTGTTATGTCTATAAAAAATATTGTTATATTTTCAGTTTAATGTGTTGATATTGCCTATGATAATAGCAGAAATTACAGTCGCTAGTTTAGTAATACCAGCATCATCACCAGTAAGTTTTAGCGGGCATAAATTAAAATCACTAATTACTAAGCGTATTTCAAAATATGAAGTCAACGTCTAGGGTAGCATAACGATATTTTCATACAGAAATTGGGTTTAACGTTCACTGAACATAAGCTGCATGTCATTTCGGGACTAACATATGGTATAATTTCAGTAATTCTGTTGTGCGTAGGGGTCGTTAGAAACGGGAGAAACCCCAAGAGGTTTAAAGCCACTGAACAACACTATGACGTCAGCAACCTCAAAAATATTTTGTTGTCTAAAATTGGTACAATAGAATAAGAAATACCCGAAAAGTTGTACTGTGTTTGGGTATATGTCACTATGGTCGGGTTTCGTGCATGGGGATATTCTTATTTATTTCAGCTACTCTGATACCATTGAGGGGGAGGGGGGATGAGTCTACATAGCTAACTAAATTTTGAACCAAAAGCTTAAACCAACGGTTTCTTTCTACTCCCCGTAGAGGGGATAATGATTTCATACGTTGATAGCAGAAAAAATTAAAATTCACGATTCCGCATGATTTTATGCGTTTCTGATGATTTACATATTTTACCATATTTACAAATTAGAATTTGGTGGTTTCCTCAAAGTTAACCATGGCTATTTAGCCCAGGATAACCCATTAATAGACAAGATAATTGCATAATGGACGTTCTATTGACAGTAGGCTGGAACTAATGGTTTTAATTCTCGTCTAGATTCATGACGCCAGTAGAAATGATCTGTTAAACAACTTAAAACATTATAATGTGAATGGTTCTGACGATTTCTCTGCCACGATGAATATACTGATGCTTGGGGTAAGTAGCATAGAAATTGATGACCGTTTGGATTGCTTCGAAAATCTAAATAAGATTGAAATTTCGTTTCTTTTTTTCTTTGACATTTGCACTGCGCTGTAGTAAAGTAAGTCGACCACATTTCTAGGTCTTTGACTATCTTTCACATCGTTGGTAGCCGTGTGATTGTCGAAGAGCCTGTAAAGAATGAAATGATTGCGCCCAAACAGTCTAGCTACTGCCAACAGTTGTGAGCTATATCATTAATATCAATAATAATAGACGTCATAAAACAGACCCTGGTACGAATACCAACCAACACGGTGAGGAAGGGGACTTTTATTGCGCCCAAACAACCTAGCTACTTCCAAAAGTTTTCAGCAATATAATTAATACCAAGAACACTAGACTTCCTAAAACAGACCCTTGAGGAACACCGGCTAACACATTACACAGTGAGGAAGAAGACCTTTTAATCACTACGCGTCGTTTACTCTATTTAACTAACCAGTTTAGAATTTTCCTTTAATTCCATGATTACTTAATTAACATAATAAACCTCGATGTCAGACCCTGTCGAACGATTTTGAACAGTTGCAGAAAACAAAACAACTAACTTCTTTGTTCTTCAGTGTTGATACCTAAATTTGAAAGATGAATTGTTGAATGTTTGGGCAGAAATCCAGAATTAAACTCATGTAAATGTCGAGGTATGACATTTTACGTCGTTGCAGTGCATTGAATATCTCCACAAGTCAGGCGATACAGCTAGCTGTAAAATGTCAAAATATTCATGAAAATACTCTGTTTTCTTAAATCACAGAAATATAGGTCTATGAAACTGCTATGTTTCCCAATTCACAGAAATATGATTTCCGTGTTGTTGATTTTAAAATTAAAATTTCCATATGTAACGATTGTTGCTTGATTTTAAAATTAAAATTTCCATATGTATATTACGATTGTTAAGTTCAGATATGTAAATTGTATCCATAATGCTGTATTTATCTGTTTTTGTATTTGGTTATTTCTTCCATAATAAATTTCAGTTGGACTGTTGTGGAATAAATGAACAGGACGATTTTGATGATGTAACTATGATTTATAGAGGGGTTAACGTGAAGATACCACCAGCATGTTGTAAGATCGCACCTGGGGGAAAAACCTTACTAAACTGTGAAAACAATGCAACTAATTCTAATTCTCAGACTGAGGTTAGTATAGCTATTAAATAATAAACTATAAATATTAAATAAAAACTATTAAATCTGACTAATTTGTATGGGACATTACTTTAATATAGGTATATCATTCTAGAAAGACAAGACATAACCATTGATACGTTATTCTGCCAGGCTATGGGCACCTCCTGTGCAGCGTTACTTTGACTGTAGGAAGTTCAGAAAGGGGCAACATTTAAAAAAAAAACAGTCAGATGGTGTGAATATAAATACTTTGTGGTATCCGAAAATTGTCGATTTAGGAATTAAAATGTCGGTCAACTACTAGCTTAGTGTCTGTTCAGAAGCGGAGCTAATTATAGACAGACAGTGTAAGTTTTGCATGCCTCGACAATGCCACGATGCCATCATATAGAATATGACTACAATTTGTCCAGTTTTTTTCTTATTAGTACACCTACTATTTTATTTTAAATGCGTTAATTTGATTTTATATTTCAAAATCAAATGTCGAACATTCTCTTTGTGAGTTTATATGGCTATTGAAACTTTTAGTATATTCCTATTCTTTGAGAAGCCAACACCGCCATTTCAGCGGAATCAACGTTTCATAGTTGATGAAATATTGCACGTTTTCCTAAATTTAATTTCACAGGGATGTTACAATGCCTTTCAAGGAGTCCTTATGTCACCAGTTACTTGGATTATTTTACTTACAGTTCTTTTCATATTGACACAGGTAGGTAATTTGAAGAAAAGAAACAACATATCATACGAGGCAAGCGTTACGTTATTGAATGTCTGTAATATATTGGTTGGTGTAGTACTTCCGGTTTGCCGAGATAAAAACTACAAATACAGTTCAGGTTCTTTTCTACAATTTATTTCGTTAAGCAGATTAGAAACAAATGTTAATTACAATTCTCCCTCGCTCTTTAAGAAGTATATACATGTATACGTTTTATGACCCTTATGACAGGCTGCGTGTGTTCTGGCGAATCCCACCCCACACCCTCTTTTATCGGTGCCTTCACCCTAATTGCTTTACCCCAAACCTTGCATACGGCGGGGGGGGGGGAGGGTACCAATCTTTTTAAAATCAGGATGTTGTGTGTGTTTCTAGCCTTTCGTGATAATGGTAGGTACAACTAGTTCAAGGCATGCCCGTGTTGTGAGTAAATGGTGTAACCGAATAATGAATTTACAATGAATAATACTATCCCCCCGTATCACAATACCTTCAAAAATCTTGTTTGGACAACAAATAAGAGAATGTGACACCAACGTGGACTGTACATCATATGGAGTTATTTCCCTTTCTTACGAAATTACGTTAAAACCATTGAAGCCATTGAGGATTTATGATCTGTTTTTATGCAAGTTCTTCCGTCTACATTAGCCCGAGCGATGCAGAAAAGTGTGATTTAAACCCCAAAAAGCACGTTGAATTATACATGCGTATTTATTAAGCCACTATTTGAAGCGGTTTTGAACCACGTGCTTGAAATTGTCAACATAAATTGTCATTAGTGTAACATTATGCGCAAAATAATATTATATACTGAGCGCCATGGAAAACGCATCACTTAGTTTTTCGTATAACAAAATGATCCTGTAAACATATCTTATTTATTTTGCTTCTTATTGTGAACAATATTCAAATGGGAACACATCAATAACAACACATTTGTACACTTATGGATGTTTAATCTTTAATCAACGGTACAAAGTCAGAGGGGTCAAAACTAAAAGTACGACACAGATGTCAGTAGCGCGTGTGTCCTCCACGGGCTCTAACGCACGCTGTGCAGCGACGTCGCATGGAATTAACCAATGTTTGAAAGAAGGCCTGGGGCAAATTGTTCCATTCTTGGACAAGAGCAGCTTCTAAAGCAGCAATGGTGTGCATCTGTGGTCTCCGATACAGACGGCGTCCAATCTCATCCCAGACATGTTCTATCGGTGCCATGTCCGGATAAAGATGAAAGCGACTCACATCACTGAAGAGCACACTTTGCCAGTCTACTCTTCTCCATGTCTGGTGTCCTTGAACCCATATCAAACGCCGCTGACGGTGATGATCCCTGAGGATAGCTCAAACATAAGGTCGTCGTGCACGGAGTCCTACTTCTCTTAGACGACGTCTTACGGTGTTGACACTTACTGGTCCTTGTCTTCCGACGACTGCTGCACCTGTTCGAGTCGCTGGGGGGAATCTGTCACGCAGATGAGTGACCCGGATGTAGCGGTCTTGAGCCTGGGTTGTAACGCGTTGTGGACCAGGACGTTGACGGTCACGTGTTGATCCAGTAACTCGAACACGTTCCACTAACCCTACAATAGTGGACTGATGACAATTGAAGTGTCTGGCAATAGCACGTGTAGACATACCAGCCCTGGACATTCCCATGGCTTCATTCCGTTGATTTTCAGTAAGTCTCGGCATCTCTAGCTCGATTCCTTCACACGTCCAACAACAAATTACGACAGATTGACGTTTCACAGTTCATGTACTGCACATTAAGTTGAAAACATGTTTTTAAAGGGCTCACACACAATGCTGCACGTGAATATTGGGTTTTTCATGTGCATCTCGTGCAATTTTTTTTTGTGCACACGGGCCGATATTTTTTGCGTTTGGGAACATTGTGTGAAACAATAGTTCATAGTATTGCATAATATTATACATACAATACCACCTAGTAATAAAATATTAGGGAAAAAAAGTGATGCGTTTTCCATGGCGCTCAGTATATTATAGTTGTATAAAAATGGTTATGTTTGCGTCAAATAAATAGAGGTCAGAATTCTGTATAAAATTGGCCAAATTTGTAGTCGAATAGCTAGTGGTAGGGATTCTTTCCTACCCAAACGATATTACTTGTATTATTTTTTGTGGCCTTCTAGTGAGTCACGGCGACTCAGTGAGTAAGGTCCTCGCTCGGTAGCCTGAAGGTCTCGGTTTGGCAGAGAAATATCATCGGGATTTTCTCGTCGTAGCTCCGCTGTCACGGCAAAATTTCACTCGTAGCGCACTACAAGGCATTATGCCCGTCTTCCTTAGCCAAGTAGGTGCAGAAAAGTAGGACGTTAAACTCCATTTCGTTTACTGTGGCCTATTAAGCTATTTCAATCAACAATTTACATTTTTCTTATCATTAGGAAGGATTATCCTCGAATGAACATCGTTTTAAAATATTAATTAAAAAATATGCTGCGACAATCATTATGAAACTAATTTTACTTATTTTAGGTTCTGCAATTTTGTGCTTCCTACCATGTGGTTACAAATTATGAAAGAATTGGAGGTCTTCGCATTTAATAAAAGGTGGGACTTTCTCTTAACGATAAATTACGTTGTACAAATACTTATTAACTTTATCAGTGATACACAATATTGCATATCTGCTTTTATGATTTATTCAGTTTAACAGTTGATGATACGACAATAACACAGTACGTCATAACCAGTTGTATCGCTTATTACAACTAAATATAGAACATAAACAGGAGTGTATATATCCTCTATTTCAGAGTCCGAGAAAATGGTTGACCGTCTGGGATTCTATGCTTCTAACAATTTTGTACAGAAATGGAGAACTAAAAAGAATTTAATTTGTTTTCCCGAAAATGTATCAGTAATTTGGATGGAGCTATTAAATTAAATCTGTCCGTCCTCTCTCTCTCTCGGAAACGCAATAATTTGGTTTTGCGGTGGATGTTTATTAATACTGATTAAAGTTATCTGCAAATACCTAAATCCGTTACACCTTCTACCATAAAAGAATGGAATAACCTTGATCCAAGTATTCAAAAATCGTCCTCTATAAGTAAATTTAAAACTAAAATCATTGATATAGATAAAAAATATACCCTCATATTGCAACTTTGGCAAACGTAAAAATCAAATATTACATAGTCGCCATCGTCTCTCTTGCAGTGACCTAAATGGGCATAAAATTTTAAGGCATATTTTGAAAAGCACCAGGTATGATTGAGGTCATTTCTTCGAAGATACCGATCATTTTCTTTTACATTGCTCCTTACATTCTGATGCACACAAAATATCTATAAATCTTTTACCACCCAATTTTATCAATACAGATAATCTGTTATACATCGTTTGCCATCTTTGAAAAGGTCCACTTGTTTTTTGACAGCAGCAGAAGGTTTTAAGATCAGTGTAACATCTATATCGATCAAAATAAAAATGCGAACATGAACAACTGCGTAGCCAATATGTAAATATGTATATACAAAATGTTGTTGATTAAGTATTCATTGTAGTGTTTTATTGTTTACTTACTTATTTCTTTTATATATCCATATTAATTCTTGTATTTAGGAGAGTCGTCATATAGGCTATGCCTGTTCCTTAAACCCCTTTCAATTTCTGAATAAAATATTGTTTAAAAAAAAATAACAAAAATAGAAAACCTAAAAAGCACACAAAATGAGAATATATAACTGGTATGCACCTGAAGGCTATGGAATATTATGTTTCACTCTTAAATAAACATTTTTGTATTTGTCGTTACTTATTGCTGTTGTGCGTTTAAACCCCTCACCGTTCCCACAATGGCTAATCATTCATTCAAAAAATAACAAGCGCTCCCTAAGTCAAGCTGGCAGACAATAAGCCGCTGGGTGGCCCGTTAGTGATACCTTGACGTTTTTGCTCAGTGCTTGCCCCAGGGAATCCAGTATTTTCCATATATACCAAACTTGCCATACCTACCTTATAAAAAAATACCTTTGTGGTAACGCACCTTTAAGTAACTCAAGCATAAAGGCCTAAACTGTCTTCAACCTCGATTAAAAGATTTGGCGGCTATTTAAGACGTATTGATGCATAGTATATTAGATAAACATTAGAACCTCCATACATTAAAATACGATGACACCTATTCTAACTGAACACGCAATAACACCAGCTTTTGTGGTTCGATATACTCCCATCGACAGATAAATAACGTTTATACCTATAATAAGTATATGGTACGCCAATTCTGCATCTCATACCACTAAGACCAGCTTTGGTGGCAAATTGACAGATTTGGTCGTATTTTTAACATATCTGGAAAATGCAACATAAGAAGTTTCTGAAAGATTATATGTTTAATTCTTATCATGTATATGTTCAAATATGTCCTGTTTAATTATTATTAAGATAGTAAGTTGGCAAAAATGTTTGTGTCGCCTTACATGCCCGTAGCTATCCAAAAAATGTTGGGGGGGGGGGGCGCTGATTGGGCTTCTGGGGCACCGATGTACCTACACTAAGGTACCCCCCCCCCCCGAAAATTTTATAGAACAGGGTTTGCACCTCAGGAGAGGTTCTATGGAAATGATGGAAAATTTCAGATTTGAGGGTGAATTGTCATACTGGCGTAGTATGATATTCTGATATGAACATTATGAAAATTTTAAGGAAGGAATACGACTTTAGCATAGGCTACCTATCATAATTCATTAGAAAAACCAAAAGTTCGGAATCGGGTTAGATTGCGACTTGTTTGAATTTTGAAGATTGTCACGCCTGGCGCGGGCTTGAATCAATCTCATCCACATCATGAATTTGACCTGGACAATTTCCTACAATCTCCAGTTGGCTTTCTTATGATAGATTTCGTCGTGGGCGTTCCACCAATCTCGGCATTAAGGGCGCCCCTCCGGGACGAGGCAACCCACCAATCATGCCGTTTTGGGCGCCCCATTGATTAAGACTTTACCATTTACCTGAAGAGTATTTCCATTTATTAATTCATGAGCAATATTACAAAACTCAACACTATGATCTATATTAATCCATTAACAAATGTGTTGT